GCTCCAAGTTGCCTTGGGCTGAAGTGGGAAGTTTCAAGTTTGCCAAAGCGAGCATCTATAAAGCACAGCAAAGGGAGCCCCGCTTGTCCAAAGCAAAGGAGATTATAGCAACCCAGTATCAGTACCGGCGGGCGCGATTCCATGCGTCCCACTCGGCCTGCGTGTACAGGGGGGCCTCGCTGCCGGCGGTAATACTCGTCCCATTGGGCCTGAGTATAGCCGTGGTACAGGGGATCGTTCCCTCGCTGACAGCGTCCCGTTTGGGAGTAGCGGTTCCGGGCCGCAACCTGACGATTCTGTTCAGCAAGCCGTTCAGTCTCGTCCCTCTGGCCCTCGGCGCTGCGCAGGCTGTCATTGATCACAGCTGCCAGCTCAGAAGTGATCCCGTCCACGGTGGTGCCGTCCAGACGGACTTCGCCGTCGAAAGTGAGGATGCGACGTGCAGCTTCATTGGCCAAAGCGATCTCAGCATAGATCTTCGGACTGAGGAAGGTGCCCATATACGTAACCCCGATGGGCACATCGCTTGTGTTATCGATGAACCTGAGGGTGCGCAATGGCTCCACCTCGCAGTGGGCAAAGAAGACCAGCTTAGCCGGCGCTGCTCCAGGCGTTGTTGCCGCCGAGGAGTAATTGGCACCCGCGCGCAAGTGGCGCTGCTCTTCTGTGCGGCCTGGGTCTGGGAGGATTGCAGAAGACAAGTAGTCGAACTTCTGCATGTCCTCCAGGTTCCGGCCCTCCTGCATCATCCTCGTCCGGAATTGATCATCGCGCTCCCATCGCTCTGAAACGGACGGGTAGTTCATTTTGGCTGCCCGAGTCCGTCGGTCCTTTGCCTCCCTGATCACCACCGCCTCCGCGCTCATTTGGCCACGCTTCTTGGAACCATCGCCTCCACGGAGATCGCTGGTCAAGAGTGCGTCGATGGGCTTTTGGCTACCAGTTGCGGCGGCGGCCAAGATGCGCTTGCGGAGCTTTGCATTCTCGAAGAATTTCTTCGTGGTCTTGGCGGTCTCGTCGGACTGCGGCGCATGGCACTTTAGGCAGAAGAGCATTCCATTGGCGACCACAGCGTGGCACGAGGCACACGGGTGAGAGCCAAGTGGGTAAAGCTCCTCCTCGCCAGCGTCGGTTGTGTCGCCCTCGTCCACCTCGACCTCTACCTCGACCTCGACATCATCTGAAGCAGAAGGAGCAGAAGGAGCAGGCTCACCCTCGCGGGTGGCAACGGCAGGCAGCATGGTCGTGTCCTCGATTTCGGAGGGATCGATGACCTTGGGCTTCTGCGTTGCCGTTGGCATCCTTTTAGCAGCTGCGGCCTTTGGCGGGGCTGCTGTGGATGAGCTCGCTGCTTCCTCGTAGTCGCGCTTTGCACGGAAAGTGCGCTCTGGCTCACCCTCGCGGGTGGCTTCAGAGCCTTTTGCGACGTAGAGGGGCTTGTCCTTCTGGCTGGTGTCAATGGCCGAGACAATGCAATCCGGCGGGATGGTGTCCCGTGTGAGGACGCCATCCGTTTCGGTGATGAAGAAGGTGCAGCCAGCCTCGATGGCGCGAATGGTGTCGATCACCATCTCTATCGGCTGGTTGGACCTCATTCCACCCATGTACTTGGCATCGTTCAGCCGGTAAGGGGAGAGGTAATTGTGAGCTCTGTTGGAGCGGGCGCTTCCCGGCACCATACCGTCACGGATGATGCCGCGCATCCCCTTTTCATTTGTCCGATGGTAGAGCTTCGTGGGGGTGTCTTCCTTGGGTAGCACGGTTACCCCACGGATGCTGCTCTGCTCCTCGGCCTCTTCCTTCGAGAGTGTGCTGAGGAACTTAGTTGCAAGGAAGAGATCTGCATCAGGGTTGTTCCCAACCAGCTTCTCGTTATGGCCCTGGCTGATGCGCACACGGACTGGGAAGAGCGGCTGTCCGATGGTCTCGTGCATGGGCACATCAATACCCAGGAGACGAATCCGACCCTTCTTGTCAGCCTTCGCAGCACGGAGGAGCTGCTCCCCAACGGGTGCCGCGACATCTGTTGAGCAGCGAGTCCACATCGGTCCAACACCCACGATCGAACGCCAGTGGGTATGCCTCAAGCTCGTGGCAATCCATTCTGCCTTCGACACACTCAATGTCGCATGGATATAGGCCTGGAAAAACGAGCGATTCCTTTCGTCTTCCGAAGCGTGGAAAGAGTCGTACATTTCCAGCTTCTCAACGAAGGGGGGTAGCGGACTGGACCTGGAGGCCTCTCGCTCGAAACTCAGTGAACATTGCCTTATTGAAGTCACTGTACGCCGAGTGGAGCTGGAAGAGGTCGGCATCGACATTTCCGATGACCTTCACAAATCCAATGTCTGGCTCGCCCGTGAGGGCGGCTAACACATCCGCTGACCTCCGAATCTTCTTCGCAACAGCCTCTGTGGACGTGGTTGCATCCCTGTAGGACAGCCCAATTCCAAGGCGCGTAGGGATGCAACCCCACTTTCCACTGATTTCGTTCCCGCACCACCAGCATATCACGTCGATCAACATGTCTGGGTGGTTCAGTCGCAACTCCTTGATGTGCTCCTCGACTTGCCACGTGATCCATGCGAGCGTCTTGCCCCAACACATTGTGTAACGGGTCTCCGCCCAGCCCAAAATCACGCAGGCAATGTTGACCTCCTGGTTGCAATCCGGCTTCATGAAGGCGCCGCGGCGGTTTTTCTTACACAACGCCGTACTCGAGTCGGAAACAAAGATCAACGCCCGCTTGACCTTTGGGCTCAACCTTGCGGTTGGCTTCAACTTTCCCATCCCGTCATCACTCAGATTGGCCAGCTCACGGAGGGCAGACGTAGTGGCTTCGGCATGCGTCAGGGAGATGCCGGCGGCACACTGTGTCGTAACACATTTGTAGGCCTGCTCCAGCATGTTGCACTCGTGGTCTGAGCCAAGGGAAATCACATCCGCATTGAGCGCAGCCGACTGGAGCAATAGCTTTGCCCACTTCACAATGGACGGCCTTCCCAGCTGAGCCGAGTTGACGGTGCAGTACTCGTCCTCGACGATGATAGTCGACATAGTGGCAGCGAAGAGTCTTGTCACTTCACGATCAGAGCCAACAGCAGCTATGGTGAGCGCACGTACTTGGGAATTCATGA